GAAGACACACGTGAAGTCCTTAAAGAATGACTGTAAATCAAGAATTGTGTATCTGTCAAAATGATCCTTCAAAAACGAAGAAGAATTAATGTATTATCAGATTACAAACAAAAGGTATTACCAGATTTTTTTTAAATTCCGAGGAAGTTTATTACCAGTAGATGTGCCCTATAAGAAATGCTAAAAGGAGTTCTCCAAGCTGAAATTAGGGGACCCTAGATAGTAACTCAAAGACAAGAAAAAAATAAAAAACATTAGTAAAGGTAACTTCATAAAGACAGCTTTACTGTACTTCTGGCTTAGTTTGTATCTTTTCTCCTATATGATTTAAAAAGTAAATGCATAAACTAATAATTATGACTATGTCAATAGACAGATAAGGTATAAAGATAAAATCTGTGATAACAATATAAAGGAAGAAGAGAGATGTATATAGAAGCAGAAGTGTTTGTATACTATTGAAAGAAAGTTGGTATTATTTAAACTAGATTGCTAAAATTTTAAGATGTTAATTGTAATCTCCAAAGTAACCACTAACTAAGTACCTAAAAAATACACAAAAATTGAAAGAAGGGAACCTAAATGGTATACTACCAAAAATTAGCTAAATACAAAAAAAGTCAGTAATGGAGGAAGTGAGGAACAAAAATATTCTAAGAAATAAAGAAAATAGCTAAATGGCAGAAGTCAATCCTTTATCAGTAATGACATTAAATGTAAGTGGATCAAACTTTCCTATCAAAAAAAAGCACTGGCAGACTGGATATTAAAAAATAAAACACCAAGATCTAGCCCCACCCAAGGGCCTGGAGGGAAGCCTCAGGCCAAAACAACATAAAGGGTGGGAACACAGCCCCACCCATCAGTGCACTTTCTAAGCCACAAAGGCCTCTAGACACAGCCCTACCCACCAGAGGTCCAGGACCAAGCTTCACCCAGCAGTGGGCAGGCACTGGCTCTTCATGCCAGGAACCCTGCATAAGCCTCATCCACCAGGGGCAGATACTAGAAATCAGAAAACAATAATCTCAAAGCCTGTGGAAGGAATCCACAAACACATAGAAAGATAGACGATATGAAGCGGCAAAGGAGAATCTCCCAGGCCAAGGCACGAGGTAAAATCCCAGAAGAAATAAGTGATGAGGAGATAGGTAATTTATCTGAGAAAGAATTTAAAGTAATGATGGCCAAGATGTTCAGAGAACTCAAGAGGAGTATAGATGCACAGAGCAAAGTCTTCAGCAAAGGGTTGGAAAATATAAAGAATACCCAAACAGAGTTAAAGAATAAAAATCACTGAAATGAATAACACACTAGAAGGAACCAAGAATAGACTAAAGGAGGCAGAAGAACGGATC